AGTGGTAGCAAAACAGGGGTTTTTGTTGGTAAGCTTGCAGCCTAGTGGTGAACCAGTTCATAAATTTAGCATCTTGGAAAACAGTATACATTTCTTTGTACTTTACATAGTTATCTAACATTATTCATTTAATGATGAAATATCTAAAGCTACCATGCTCTGAACAGTGCTGCATAGTGTATGTTATGAACAGTTCACATTGTCTAATGAATTAATTGTATTGTTCATTGTTACATAAATGACACTCTAAGTCTAAATCACAAATAGCACTGCCTGGCTAAGTAGGGGGTGGACACTGTGCTCTCCGGATGGAGGTAGCACTGTGGATGCTTCCCTTGCACTCCTGACATCTCTGGCAGCCTTTGTGCCTCCAGCTCCTGGTGCTCCAGCTGGTCGAACTCCTCTCTCTTCCCACTACAGGGCTGCATGCCCACAGGATCAGTAACACGGCCCCTTTCCCCTCATCTGTCTGCTCACAGGGAGTCTATTGGGAGTGCAGCTCTTGCCTCACTCAACCCAATGTCTCATCAGCCAGCTAAGCCCTGCATGGCTACATGGGATGGGGATGGTTCTTATAAGGCCTTACTGCCCTGCTCAGCTGCATAGGGCTTTGTCAAAATTGAGCGCTAAGGCCTGGGCTACCCAAGAAAGTTGTGCTGGTTTCACTAAAGGCATGATTTTAAAATCCATTCAGTTAAAATAGTGCAAAAGGCTCCATGAATTCTCTTTTAGTTTTAAACCAGGCCCATTTTGGTTTAGTTTAAGTTAATTAGGAATCCGTTTAAGTTAAATCAAAATAGGGGTTTGTCCCAGTTTAACTGAATCAGTTTGGAATCACACCTTTAGTTAGACCAGTGAAACTTTCTCTTGCAGACGAGGCCTTCATGTCATTGAATACCTTCAGACAAATTTCAAGTGTCAAATATATAGATCAGGAGTGAAATCCTGGGCTCACTGAAGTCAATGGGAGTTTTGCCATTAACTTGAATACAGCCAGGATTTCACTCTAGGTGCTGATGTAGCGTGGCACAGGATAAAATTACAAGAGCAAAGAACACCGCTAGGTTTGGATCTGATCATATGTTTTAATCTCTCTCATTAACATGAAGCATGTCTGCTGTTTTTACAGGTCTTATGAATCGAGACTATGAGATCATATCAAGCAGAGCAGTAACTGAAATAAATCATTACGATGGAACTGGGGTAGCAATGAGCATAGCTGCTAACAGGATTTCATACACTTTTAATCTGACTGGACCATCACTTGCCATCGATACTGCATGCTCATCGTTTCTTTTTGCTTTGCATTACGGCTCGCAAGCAGTTAAACAAGGTACTGGGACTAAAAGTAAATAAGCAAATAAATTAGGGTTGATACTGTAGTTAAGTTACTAAGGTGTAGATGTGCAGTGTCTCACTGTAATTTGACTAATGTCACAGCTGGTAAAGCCTAAAAGCATTTGTTTTTTACCATTACCAAAATGAAAGTTTGCACCCTCAGTTCCACTGGTACGGGTTACAGGGCTTTATACCACCTGTGACAGGCAACAGCAACTGTCAAACACTATCACTGATTTTTGGCACCCATAGAAGATGTAAGCCTTTGTTGGTGTCTGCCATTCTTTCAAATCACATTATCATGATTCATGAAGGGGTGGATGTTTCTTGTTTTTATAAAAGACCAAGAGTGTTTACTCTCTCAATGGCTTCTATTAATATGCTGCTGTCTACTCAGGCCCATTCCAAACACTGAGAATTTTACCATCTGTTGGATATCAGGGCCTGAAAGTTTGAATATGTCTATGCACTTTCAGTGGGTCAGTTCTGTTTTTATAATCTCCCTGCAAATTCTTTTTATCACTAATGGGCACTGTTAACAATTCCAAATATTATTACAGTGTATTAATGTAAATCTGTAGACATGCAAAGAAAATGGAAAACAGTCACACATTTATTTTACCACAGGAGATTGCGAAGCGGCTCTGTGTGGAGGAGTGAACTGCATTATAGATCCCCGCACCTTCGTATCTCTGAGTAAAGCAAAAATGATCTCTCCCGAGGGGATGAGTATGCCCTTTTCTAAAAAGGCAAATGGTTATGGAAGAGGAGAAGGCTGTGGTGTTCTTTTACTGAAGCCACTAAAAAAGGTAGGTTCATTTTCATAGAGCTTCCAAAAATAATATTTCCAAATACCCAGGACTGTGCAATTCCCATTCTAATATGTTCTCTTATGGGAGGACATATTCACAACTCTAGACTCTTCTACTGTGAGGTTAATATCCAGGGCTAAAATATTTAGGCACTTATCCTAGTGTAAGAAGGGTACATTTAAGAGTTAAACAGAATGTTCTGTCTGCCCTTGTTCTTCCTTCTGTTGTAAAAATCCCAAATGATCCCATATATTTTTTCCATTTTTTTTAAAACAGGCACTAGAAGACTACAACAGAATATGGGGAGTTATAAACATCAGTGCAGTAAATCAGAATGGCAGATCCGTGACTCCAATCACAAGACCATCTCAGACAGCACAGGAAAAATTACTACGCAGCATTTATCTGACTCATGTTGACCCATCAGTTGTGCAGTATGTTGAAGCACATGGCACAGGAACTCCTGCTGGAGATCCTACAGAAGCAGAGAGCCTAGGTAGCATCATTGGTAATAACAGATCTCCTAAAATGCCTGTTCTAAAGATTGGTTCTGTTAAAGGAAATGTTGGCCATACTGAATCAGCTGCTGGGGCAGCTGGGTTAATTAAAGTTCTTTTAATGATGCACCATGAAACGATTGTTCCATCTGTGCATTACAGAGAGGATATTAGTAGCATAAATACAGAGAAGTTAAATCTATCAATTCCAACAACAGTAGAGAAATGGGAAGAGTCGAGAGAATTTGGAAGAGTAGCTGGTGTCAACTGTTTTGGATTTGGGGGAACCAATGCCCATGTTGTTGTCAGACAGTTTAAGCAAACACAGGTTCTTCCTCCTTTTAAAAGACCGATTGAATTATTTGTACTCTCTGCGGCTTCAAGCAAATCCCTTAAATTGACAATGGAAGACACAGCTGAACAGTTAAACATAAGCAACTCAGTAACTCTCCCAAATCTGGCCTATACATCTGCCTGTAGAAGAAGCCATGTAAAGTATAAGTACAGAAAAGCATTTGTTACAAACT